AAATGTAGACTATTCTAAATCTATTCGAAATCTTCAGGAATTAAGGAATTACGGAATTTATGGTTATTTTGGTAACACGCACCAAGATTATTTTGTCCTCCAGCATCTCCACCCTCTGCTGATTTCAAGTACCACTCAAATGCTTTTTTCTCATCTTTTTGTGTTCCGATTCCATTGTTATAACACCAACCTAGGTTATATTGTCCTATAGCATTTCCACCCTCTGCTGATTTCAAGTACCACTCAACATCTTTTTGTGTCCCGATTCCATTACCATAACACCAACCAAGATTATTTTGTCCTAATGTATTTCCACCCTCTGCTGACTTCAAGTACCACTCGAATGCTTTTTTCTCATCTTTTTGTGTTCCGTTTCCATTTTGATAACACGCACCAAGATTATTTTGTCCTCCAGCATCTCCACCCTCTGCTGATTTCAAGTACCACTCAAATGCTTCATAATATAATATATTTGAATTTCCTGATGATTGTTCTTTAATTAAAGTATTAGAGATTGGCATATATGCTGGATATGCTGGCATATATGCTGGCAAATATGTTGGCCAATATCCTTGAATTAAGTTGACCGATGACGGTACTCCGAAACTTAAGATATTAGGCACATACGGTACTCCGAAGCTTGTATTAGGCATATATGACGCTTCATATGTAAAATTAAAATTTTCTGATGATGATGGTGTTTTGACACTTAAAATATTAGAGAATGATGATGACGTTTCATATACGGAATTATAATTGTTAGTAGAGATTGATGATGATGCTTCATATGCATAATTAGAATCTTCTGATGATGTTGCTACGAAACTTAAGGAATTAGACAATCCATATGTGAAATTAGAATCTTCTGATGTAGACCAAATTATTTCCTTTAAATACTGATTTACTTTACTTATAGTTGGCCGATTTGTTGGTATATTATCCCAACATTTTTGATAGAGGTCGACATATTCATGAGGAGTCCCAGATATGGTCATTTCTTTCTCACGGATAGTTTCATCAATATATCCACATTTATTCGATGGAGGACGACCGCTAGAAATCATCCACAATAGAATTCCCACGCTAAATATATCAGATTTTTCGTCTCGGCGAAAATCGTTCGGGTCTTTTAGAAAAGCTGGATCAACGTAGCTTATAATTCCATAATCAGTTTTTGAATTTAGGTCATCATCTGAGAATTTTGAATAACCTAAGTCTGCGATTTTAATTTCTCCATTATGAACAAGGACATTATTATGGTTCTTTGATGTGAGAAGGTAAATAAAAATTAAAATTCTATTTAACGTTAAAGAAAATTAATAAAATTCTTACCAAGTCTCTATGAATGACGCCTTCGTCATGTATACATTTTACCCCCTTTGCAAGTTGTATGGCTAAAGACAACCTGTCAATACCTTTCAAACTTTTAAAATTTTTTGCCAGATAATCTCGAAGAGTTCCGCCATTAGCATAATTAAATACCAACATGTATTTCTGTGTACTGGGATCTGGTAAAATACACAGAATTTATTCATGCATTTCCATACATTTAGAATCAAGTTATATGCACATGATAAAATTTACCTTTAGAAATTCCATAAAAATCAATAATGTTTGGATGATACTGAACTTGGGTAAGAATTTTTAACTGGTTTATATACATAGTGTTATTCTATTTTCTATTGGTAGTTTGAATATCTGATCAAATAACGCAATAAATTTACCTCTTTCATAAATTCTTTTAAGTTTCGTTCATAGTTTTCGTTCTTTACATAAATAGATTTTAAAGCTACCATCACATCATCATTTAAATTTGCCCTATATACCTCGCCAAAATGTCCATTTCCAATTACTTTTTTATCTCTAAAAACATTAAAGTCAAAGTATTTGACAAGTTTTTCTGAAACTGCAATTTCTATCGATGACATCAAAGAAGACGACATTGCGATTGTGATGGATTTGTATGTTGTGTTTCGATAAACAAGTAACCGTGATTTCATGTGTCACCGTTACATAACTTTTTTCACTGGTCAAAAGTCTGCAATCAGGAAATGATCAGTAATGTAGATCGCGAAATTTAATTACAATAAAAAATATGTCATTTTATTCAGTAAAAGTAGGGCTTTTTATACATATAATTAATATCGGGTTGAATATCCATTAGCATCAATTACAGTTTGTACCCTTCTCGGCATACTTTCAACCAAATTTCTGGTTTAATCGTTTCCACTTCCTCCGCAAGTGCATCCATCAATTCTTCTAGATTTTAGGTGTGAGTTGAGCGTGCACGAATTCGTCATACTAAATCATTCCACAAATGCCAATTTGATTTAGATCAGGACTTTGGGTAGGCCATGGAAGTGATTAAATTTTCCTCTTTTCACTGACTGGCTGTGGACTGGCGCATTATCATCTTGAAAAAGATGAATAGAACTACCTGGCAAATCATTTAGAAATGGCAGAAGATTCTGTTCCATTATTTCTATATACTTTTGACCGGTTATTCCACCTTTAACTTCGATTAATGGTCCAAGTGAATTTTGAGTAAAACATCCCCACACCATTATTCCCTGATTTCCTGATCTCATAATAGGAAGAAGATAATCAACATCATATTTTTCATGTGGTTGGCGCCAAACCCATTGTCGGGAATCATTTCAGAATATTAGATATCTTGATTCATCACTCCAAATTACTAATTCCTATTCACTAATCCAATCTTTTCTTTCTGAGCACCATTTTAATCATTTTTGATGGTTTTCCTCAGATACAAAAGGTTTTCTAACCCCAGCCCGACCATTAAATCTATATTCATGAAGAGTACGTCGTATAGTACTGGAATTAAAAGTTACAGTCATAGCAGTATTGAATTTTTTGGTAATTTCGTCAACTCCTTATTGTCGATCATCTTTAACAATATTAATTAACCTTCGAGTAGCTCTATCATCTAATTTTTGTGGTCTACCGCTCCGGGCGGCAACTGTAGTTTGGCCAAACTCTTTGTATTTATTAATAATAGTATGAACAGTAGATTTGGGTCGTCCTAGAGTATCTCCAATCTTTTTTTCAGACAAACCACACTTCCAAGCGCTGATGATCTCACCGCGCTCAAAATCTGTAAGTCGTAATTTTGACGAGTATTGGTTGGATTTGACATCGGTTTTTTTATTTTATTTGAAAGCTTGAGATTTCAGAAGTAATGTGCGTCGTTTCCTTGTCGCACAATAGACGTTTGAAATTACCCCTTAATTACGTCGATCATTGCCGAGTGTACATGTATATAGAACTGGAATCACTTCCAGTTTTTATTTAACCGGTTCAAACGAACAAACCATCTTTAAGCACGGTGGTATTTTTCCTTTAAGGTTAATTACGCAAGTTATTAAGTGTAAAAAATTTCTTTTGTCGAGATCTATGAGTTTTTTAAGTTACATTACAACAAATCTGTTTCTTGTAAAAATAATTATCTAAAACCAGCACATATTTAACCAATTTGAAACTGCATGCAATGAAGCATGAAAGTTGATTAACAAAAACGCATTATGATTTAATATAAGAAAACATTATGAACTGATTTGATTTCAAAGAATTATTCGTGTAAAATTTTGCTTCCATGACGGCTCGCGTATTTTGTTTGGTACGTATTAAGCCTCATTTGACAATAAATTTTTGTCCGATCATCATGTTAATTTTTTCTCACAACAATAAGGTTACTAAAATTACATAAATTTTTATCAGAAAAATAAAATCCGACGCTAATGTAGAACCGTGTAAACGTTACTTCCGCGACAGCCAGCGTATTTTGTTTGATACGTACTACGTGTATCAAGTCTTGTTTGACAATAGATTTTTCTCGATCATGTTAATTTTTTCTCACAACAATAAGGTTACTAAGGTTACATAAATTTTTATCAGAAAAATAAATCCGACGCTAATATAGAACCGTGTAAACGTTACTTCCGTGACAGCCCGCATATTTTGTTTGATACGTACTACATGTACATGTATCAAGTCTCATTGACAATAGATTTTTCTCGACCACCATGTTAATTTTTTCTCATAAGCAATAAATTTTTTTATCAGCAAAATAAATCCGACACAAATGTAGAATATAGAAATACATGTAGTACTAACCAGAAATGTCGCGGATACATTTTTACATATAACCCTGGGACCCTGCATGAAAAATAATATTTTAAGAATTAACCGTGTAGATACTATTGTGTCTCATTTGACAATGAAATTATTTTCTTTATATATAAAAACTCGCATTGTTGAATTAACCGTGTAAAATGTTGTTTCTGTGACGGCCCGCATACTTCGTTTAATATTATCAAGTCTCTCATTTGACAATGAAGTTATTAAAGATATGCATAAAAATAATAAATTATAAAAACATAAATGAGAAAACTAAAATATATTACTATTAATTCTCTTTCAGACTGTTGAAGAATCCTAATACATGTCAAACATATAAATAAAGACAGAATTTGTAACTCATCCAATTTTATATTCATTAATATATAGCATTTCTAAATTATTCTATTCAACATGGCAAAGTATTGGATTTACTCAAATGGCCTTGTTCTCACTGCAAAATTGCTCTCAAATACAGAAGTAACTTTGAAGGAAAGGAGTCTAAATGTAAGTTAAAGAATTATCTGATTTTATTATAAGTTCAAAAAGTCTAAATTTTATAACTAAAATGTTATGTTCTATAAATAGTATGATCCTGAAGTATTATGGAGATTTGAGGACAATCGTATAATTTCTGAATATAATGAAGGAGCATTATCAGTATCAAGAGAAGATTGTAAGTATTCGAAAGTGTATTTTAAATTTTATAAATAATAACTAATAACATTTATTTATCTTTTTAATTTTTAATTTTATTTCATATTATTGTATTACCTTGTATAAGTGTCAAGATCAGTACTGAAACATAAGGTCTTAGCTCCAAGATGGCGCTATGATCATAGTACTTCAGTAATTTCATGTGAACAGTATGATGGTGCATTGACTGTAATGGTAAATATTTGATATTTAATCTTCTTTCTGAATATACTCTTCTTTATTAATTGATTAATTATTATTTCTACTGAACATAGAAAGATGAAAATAACCAGCCTTATCCTGCATTGAGACCTCTCGGCAATGGTGAACCTCAGAATTTTATTGTGTCAAAAGCCACGCCTTCCGCTAATATTTAGATAGCACAAATTAAAATTTAACATCACGTTAATTGTGCTTTAATTTTCAATTTTTAAGATAGTCTTCTCTGTCAGATAAAAAACATCCATTACTCATTATCGTTATTCAAACAAGAAAGTCATAATTTTATTCGAAGTTCATGTTCGGTTTAGAGAAGGGCATACCGATACTGCATACATGATATACCCATAAAGTTTATCAAACTCAAAAATCTATACATTAAACTAAATATGCAAATAAGTTTTTGTACCGCTCCCAAATACATGTATAACGTTGATACACCGTAGCATGAAATTAGACTAACGTCATCACGTAGATCCCGATCCACGTGATATTGGGCACGGGATCAGATCTCGTGATTAGGGAAATTAGGGAAGTATATGCAACGATGCATCAAAGCCATAATTGATGCATCGTTGGGGAGGCAATAAATCCCGAATATATGAAGGTGTACCAATAGGGCGCCGACTAATAAAATCAAAAAAAGATGATTCATTAGTCTTGGCGTCGCGATAAGAGTGGGATCGTGACGAGAAAAGTGCCAATTATAAATAGAGAAGACTTTAGAGTAGAAGAAAAAAAGAATTAGTTCAGTATAAAGTTAATTAACTAATTAACAATTGTAATGAGCTTTGATTAAAAATAAATAAAGATTATTATTACTCTTACTTAATATACACGCCTTCAAATTATTATTGCAAGTTTATTATTGTCCTCTGTTAAAAAAAGAAGTCTACCCTGGGATTACGCAAATTGCGATACTACGATCAGTGAATTACCTTTTTAGGTAGGAACCAGCGACACCACTATTGAAGAGAAAGTCGATCGGGCAACTCGACAAGAGGTCGGTAACGATTAACGTATGTAATAACAAATTAATTAACGGAAAACGCGGATAAATAACTAGACAATCCCGTGATCGTACAGTCTCACGGTTTATTTGGTAGATTCCCCATATCCCAATCCACCGTTTTGTTTTACATGTATATATACAATCGATATACATGTGATTTATAAGGTGAACTTAAAAAGATGAAATCAAATATTATTCGAATTGAAAGTTGAAAATCTTGCAAAAAGAAGTTTTTGAACAATTTACAATGAAGAAAATAAATCATGAAGAAGGAAAAGTTATGTTGAAAATTATTATACAGAGTTTGAACTCCATAATATTTTAATTCCATTACGAAATATTGACGTGTAATATTATCTTTGATCTAAAAAATTCGTGCATCGCGACTTTCACTCTAGAAATATGTGGTTAATGCACCACTTCTAAAATTGCACTAAATGGAAAGCCATACACTAATTCTGTAAATATTTATAGTTTTGGGATGGTTTTGTATGAGATTGTAATTGGTGAATGACCATTTTGTGATCGAAGTTTGGATATGGTCATGTATTAGACAGTTGCAATGGAATACGACCTACGATACCAAATGATATTCCCGGATGGTGCAAATTTATTATTGAAAAATGTTGGAATCCTATTCCAGAAAACAGGCCAACTGCCGAGGAACTTTTTGAATTTATTAGATCTATTGTTACCAAAGTAACCATAAATCCCTAATGTGGAAATCATGTCTGTATTCGAAATAAATATACATGAATATGTACATGTACATATTTAATATCTTCTCTAATTATATAAGATATTCTATTACTCTAAGTTATAAATACAAACTACATGTAATATTATTAATAATATACATGAAGTACAGAAAATTTATATTAATATTCAAATCATATTGATTTAAAGTTTATTATTATCTGATCTAGTATTTGATAATCAGTTAATAATCAGTATAATTACTTTTAATTTTTAATTAATAATATTATCTTATCAGAATTTCAATATACAAGGCAAACTCGTTAAGACGAAGCCACGCTAAGCCGAAATTGCATTAAGCCGAAGTTTTTCTGGTTTACCAAATTTTTTATTATATATAAATTCGGCTTTGTGCGAAATTTAGTAAAACGAAAATCTCGATAAGCCGAATAAATTGTCTCTGCCCTCGACCTTCGTCTTATCGAGTTTGCCTTGTAATTGCTTTATCATATTATATTGAAACTGATTACTTATTAAATAACTAATTATTACATTTATCAATTTATTAGAAGAGATCAATAAATTTAATATCTTAATAATTGAATTTCTTTATAATAACAATTCAGGAAGTAGTGAATTAGCTTTTTGAACTCAAGTAAATTTAATTATTTTGAAGAACTTTGAGAATTTATAACAAGATCAAATAATAATTTAGATAATAATAATAATAATAATAATTTTCTGGTTCAAATTCAGTTATTAATAATTAATTTACAAATATTAATCAATATTTAACAACTGTCACAAATAATAATACTAGTTTTACTTATTAATCTCATATCAATATTTGAAAAATCAGAAAAAAATCAACTTAATTATAAAAGTACTTTTAAATATAATTGAAGAACTAATCTTAATATTAATTTTTAATCAGTTTTATTTCAAAAATACAAGAAATTATTAATAGTATTAATTTACAAAAATTATATTTCCTATTAAAATAGTAAAAATAATATTTCTAATATTGAACTCAAAATTAATATTTTATAATATTATATAAGATCTTATTAATATTAAAATAAAATATTACTATTAATCAATTAATTTATATTTTATTAAAGCAATATTTTTAAATATTAAAAATATATACAAATTTATAATATAAAAGATTAATAAAAAGAAAAAAATATTATAATTTGATAAAAAATTAAAATTATAACTATTTAATATAAAGTTAAAATTAAAAATATACTAATTAATCTTATAATTAATACTAATATTTCTAAATATATAATAAGTTATAAATTTTTAAAAAAGTATATTATTAAATTTAATATTATAAATTGATACAAAAAGATTTATATCTCAGATAAATATTAATAATTATTTTTTAAAATAAAATTTTAATTTTGTTTTATTTAATTAAGTTATTAGATATTGAAATTTATTTAAATATAAAAATTTTTATTATATATCTTTTATAAAAAAATTTTACTAATAATAACTTTTTTCAATTATTATTTCTTAAATTTTACTATATAAAATTTGATTAAAATTAATATAAAAATTATATAGTAAATAATTTAATTACTTAACTTTAAATCTTAATATCTTTATAATTACTAATTCAATTTTTATGAAAATAAAATATATATTTATCAAATCTAAAGTAATTTACTTATATAATTTAAAATTTTAATATTATATAGTAATAATATTTAAAATATCTTTTTTTTAAAAAAAATTTTATTTTAGTTTTTTTTTTAGTAAAATAATACTTTATTTATTATTAAATCAAAGTATAATAAAATAGTTAAAATAGTATAAAAAGTTAATTTAAATTATTTTTTATTTAATATAAAAAAATTATAAATATTAGTTAAAATTTAAATAATTTTCATTAAAAAAAATTATTGATTTTAATATTAAGATACAAATCTTTTTATATTAATTTATATAATATTATATATTAATAATAAATTTAAATAATTATTTATAGAATTAAATTTTAATTAATATTAATATAATAAATTTAAAATTTTAATATAATATATAGAATAATATAAAATTATTAAATTATCTAATAATTTGATATATAATTATTATAATTTGTAAATTGTATTTAAAATTTTACAAAATTATTATTAATTATATTTATTATTATACTTTTTTTTAATAAAATTTATTATAAAAAAGTTAAATTTAATAAAAATAAAGCTTATATTATAAAATTAATAAAAATATAAAGTTAGTTATATTTATAATTATTAATTTTTAAAAAAGTTTAATATATTATTTAAATATTTATATAATTAAATTACTAATAAATTTTTATTTAAAATTATTCAAGAACTAATTTTATATATAATATATTTTAAAAATTTTTTTTATATTAAAAAATATATATTTATAAATTTTATATAATTATATTTATTTTTTATTAATATATAAATTTAAAATTTTTAAATTTTTATAATATTAATTATATAAGATTAAGTAATAATTATTATATTTATTTTAATTTAATTAATTTTTATTATTATTGTTTTTATTAAAGAACAAATATATATTATAAAAAAAAGAAAGAATCTTAAAAATCTTATTTTTTATATAATTAAAATAATTAGTTAATAGAAAATAATAAAAATTCCATCTAAAATAAAGAAGAAATTAGTATTATATTAATTATATATTATATAATATATATTTGTTCTCTTATTTATAATAATTTTTTATATCTAAAAATTAATTTTTAAATTAGTTTAAAAATATTATTCAAATATTATATAATTAAATTATTTATAAATTTTTATTCAAATTATTTAAAATTATTTAAAAATTATTTTTTTTTATAATAAATACTATTGTATATTTTTAAAAATTAATAAATTTAATAAAAAATATAGCAAGCTAAATTTAAAACCAAAATTAATATAACTTAATCAATTTAAATTTTTTATTTAAATAAAAAATTATACTGGATTATTAAATAAAATAATTATTTTTATTATTATAAAAAATTTTTAATATTATAAAAATATAATAATTTATATATAAATTAATATTTATTAACTAATTTAGAAATATTTTCTAAAAGTTAATGATAAAAAAGAAGTTTATACTAAGTTATAAGAAAATTTAAAAAGATTTTTAATTATTTATAATATAAAAATTATTTTATAATAATTATTTTAGAAATAATAATTCAAATAATTTTAACTTTTCAAAAAATTATAATACAGTTCCCGGCAAAAGTAGTAGCACGTAACATTTTCGTCTATTTTTGATAATGAAGTATCCAAAACTTACGAAAGTTTGTAGATATATTCTTTAGGATATTACGAACAAGATTCTCTAATAGCGCAAGGCATGTTAGCTTAATAA